TTATATTATTATTATTATTATTATTATTATTATTATTATTATTATTGTTGTTGTTGTTGTTGTTGTTGTTGTTGTTGTTGTTATTGTTGTTATTATTATTATTATTATTTATTATTGTTATTATCATTATGAAGTACGTAATAATAAATACAGGTAGGCTTATTCTTATTAGGCTATAATAGCACATAATGAAAAACAAGAATATCACCAACTATGTTGTTGATAAGTTAATCTGTCAACTCAGGCAATTTAAATTGCTATTGTAATTTAGCTTAATTTCAAAGAATTATCTTAAATTCATCTTAAACGTAAGCCAACGTCACATAAGGAACCATGGTTACGGCAAGCCACCCACACTGGGATACGTCATCGAAAAATTTAAGTTGCATAATTATGTGTTCACATGATAATCTCGTGTTCTCGTCTTAAGACAGGCAGTGCTATGATAATTAATATTTATATATTCAGATTAAATATTCTACTCGTTCATTTGCTGTTACAACCATTATAAATACAACCATCCATGGTACAACCATCTTGTTTATAGTAAATTGTCTTCATATTTCATATCTGTCTTCATTGTTATTAATATATCCCTCGTACGGCCCACATACTGTGTTATTATTATTCCATTTATGTCCCTTATGTCGTAGTTTGCTGTAGTATAACTGAATACAAAAATAGAAACACTGATTGTTGCATTTATCAACTATGCCTTTTGTAGCCTTATAAGTAAAAATTATATTGAAAGCCAAAGTTATTATATATTTCCCCTAGAAACTTTATTTTGTTCCCATTTTCTTTTCTAGTATTGAATGTTCAGCCAGCAATTTACATTGTTATGGGAGCGAACATCGGGACCTCCGTTACCAACACCATTGTTTCGATGGCCCAGTCGAAAGAGCGCGACGAGTTCCGCCGTGCGTTCGGTGGGGCGACCGTCCATGATATGTTCAACTGGTTAGCCGTAATTATTTTCCTCCCGTTAGAGGCGTTAACACATTTTCTTTACTACTTTTCTGATTGGATTGTGGGTAGCTTCAATATACAAATTAACGAAAATGCCGAGGTTGAGCTACTGAAAGTGTTGACGAAACCACTGACAAAAAAAATTATTCAGGTGAGTCGAATGGTTCAACGGCTGAATGGTTCTTGAATTCAACATCATAATAACATGCAATAATAAAATAACATACAAACATATACAAAATAATAGCCTATATATATATATGAGTGAGAGCCCAGGGGAGTGCAAATAAGTTATTATGCATGTAGGCCTACGTCCAGCAAGGCTTTAACCCCTCTAAATATATTAAGCCTATGTTACAGTATGATGATATCGATGATTACCGGTATATAATAATAGGCCTAATGATTTTTTTTTTAATATATCAAGTAGTATGGTCTGTACAATGTTCATTTCGAAATCATATTGACTTTTGAAAAAAATATTGGTAATATGTTTGCATATTTAAAAAAAATGAAAAAGCCTGATTGTTATAATTAATACAAAAAATACACTACGGTAATATCTCGGACTCCCATCGCGGCGTAGACAAATAGTTTACAGTTACAAGAACGGAAAACAACTTAACAAAATTGTTTACCATTAAAAGGACGGAAAACAAAACTATCTGAAAACCAAGAAAAGATTACTAATTCTTGACATATGATATAAGTACCACGCTTTATAAGTGGATAAAGCTGCCAGAAAATAATGTGATAAACTGTTTCTTTAACAAAAGTAAGTCATACCAATTGTATAATAAACCTTTCATTAAACCACCCTTTTGTTTGGACGTTTTGTAAAATCCTTGAGGTAAAACGATAGCAAGATGAGCTCATTATTAATTAAAAGCTGCGTATTTTTTAGGATAGATCGCGGACCCCTCGTCGGGGAAATCCTGGCGGCACCACTGCCTAGGCACCAGTCCTATATATTATGCACCAGTCCTACATATTATGCACCAGTCTTTCATAGTAGCCTATATTGTTGTATTTGTTTACAGATAAACAAGCACGTAATCTCTGACTTAGCTCAGGGCAACGAAGATGCCGCCTCCGAGAGCATGATCAAATCGATGTGTGACAAAAAAGAAATGTTGGCTCCAACGATGGTGACGTCACTACAAAACGTCACAGTTCTGGCTGAAGATGACACTTTAGACACGATAATGAAAAACATTACAAATGCAGTCAATGTTACTGTAGAAGGCGATGGTGTACGATGTAAGTAAAATTTGTGAACAATTTCCACAACCGTATTTATTCAAATAAACATGGTTTTTTTCAACTAGAAATTATGCTGAATCAATTGATTAGACGCGAAAACAAACGTATTTGTTTGGCATATTCATATACACCTATTTATGATACCGTAGGGTTTTTTAATAAGTAAAATGTACAATGAGGATGTAGATGAAACGAAACGAAATGAAATTCATTATACGAAGTTAGAAAAAAATTATGTTTACAACATTGACACTTAATATCATGACATCAACGATTCCTACTAGTAATTGCTATTAATGTAATGTTACTTATTTTATTGGGGTTTTTTTTTTCAAAAGGAACGCAGCGAAATAAAATTGGTTAGGCATGTACGCACTAACTATATAGTTATATATACAGTTATATATATTTATTTCTTTTTCAATCTAATTATGTTACCGTATGCATTATAACATAAATATTTGGGTATGATTCAAGGTATACGAATGATCATTGTTGATGGCGTTTATATTATATCCAAAAATTTCAACAAAAATGAACATAGGCCTATTTGGAAGATTCACTTTCTTCAAAGTTATTTTTAGGCTATAAAGATACAAATTTTTTCAATAAGATAGACTTTTTTCTATTGCTTGATAGAGCAATAGGCCTACCTAGTTTTTTTGCCCTTTATATCACCGTTCCTGAGAGCTATCAACTTAGGCCTATTACTTTTTTATGAAATATTTTTATATTTGCTGTGAACATCGTTTTTCCCCAACTAGAAACTGTGCTGAATAAACTGGTTACACGCACGAACTATTATTATTACGAAATTATTGAGACATTTATATACATCTAATTTTGAAATCGTAGGTTTTTTAATACGAATAATTATTTGGCTATGATTGTAGACGGGATGTAGGTAAAACGAGACGAGATAATATTAATTACACAAAGTTGGGGAAAATATTTGTTGTCACATTTACAATAAAAATAATGACGTAAACAATTTCCATTGCAGTAATTGCTATAATGTATTATTATTATGTTAATTTATTTTTTCATCAAGAAACATTAAAATAATTTAGTTGCACGCGAAAACTCTTACTGTACATTTTTTCATAGATAATTAAAAATCTAATTATGATAGCGTGTGTTTTAACACGAATATTTGGCTATGATTGTAGGCCTTGTGCTGGCATGATAAAGATTATTTTTTTTCTGATTTTAATTGGTCTAAGATTTGTTTTGATTCATTAAATTCCTATTCAATTTGGCGGCTAAGTCCCTATGTACATTAGTTGTCCTTGTCTTTATCTATCATTGGCAACCATTTTGATATATATCCTAATGTTGCTGTCATAGTTAGGTATTGTTCCTGATTCTTGTGCTAAAGACCTCGGCTAAGGTCCGGTTAGCTCCGGGTTTCAATAAGACTCTAATCGCCCGGTTCTTCGAACAACCCTCACCCGAGAGTTAGGTGGGATAAGGGTGCATCCGTTACATATTACTCATACATTTGCCAGTTCCGACACATTTTCTGTGTTTAATGGACTTTCCAAGAATTTGTGATAATGTCCCTACAGAGGTTAGAGGACATCTGCTTTTCAATATCAATTTATCTGAATTTACTTTATTATACGAATGATAGTGTTGGCTGTACTCTAAAATACAAATGCTTAAGTTTGTGTATGTTTTTAATTTTTATATTTTCTTTTATTTTTATAATACACTCTTTGGGGAGCCATCTGACAAGTAATTAATTTTACTTTTTTAGCAATTCTGTCCTGTTGCTGTATAATTTTTCTTGTTTCCCTTGACGTATTTTTCATATTTTCTCGTTTGTCTCTGTATATTGTAATGAATTATAGTAATGACAAAATAAGTGAAAAGAAAAAATGTGTGTACTGTCGCCGCAGTATGGCCACAGGTCCCAAGGGCCCAGCCTATTTCTAATTCCGAATTTTGAATAATGACAAAATTAAATTAAAAAAAAGTAAGTTTAAAAATTTCAGCATAGTCGTATATTGCATGTAAATTACTACAGTATCACAATCATTATGATTACGGTACAGTATAATCATTTATGTACAGTAGTATGGTCTAAATGATTGTGGGTAAACTTTGTTTGAATTCCTGTTTTCTTTTTCAGGTGCTCATTTGTTTGCGGGAACTGGTCTTTCTGATTCTTCAGTGGGTGCCATTTTGCTGGTTGTCTCTCTATTGTTACTATGCGCGTGCTTGATATCACTGGTAAAGGTTCTTCAGTCGATGATGATGGGGAAAATGGCCGAAATGATCAGGAAAAATATTAATGCTGACTTTCCAAAACCATTCTCCTTCCTTACCGGATACGTTGCCATAGTCGTCGGTGCTGGGATGACGTTCCTCGTTCAAAGCAGTTCGGTCTTCACCTCGACAATCACACCACTCGTCGGCATGGGGTTAATTTCTCTCGATAGGATGTACCCTCTGACGCTAGGTTCTAATATAGGTACGACAGCTACTGGTATTCTGGCCGCTCTCTCTAGCGGTAGTGATAAATTTGAGAGCGCGCTACAGATCGCCATCTGTCATTTGTTGTTTAATATATGTGGCATTCTCGTCTGGTACCCCGTCCCATTTATGAGACGAACCCCTATCAAATTAGCTAAAGGCCTAGGTAATACCACTGCCAAGTACCGGTGGTTTGCAATTTTCTATTTGTTGTTAATGTTCTTCGTCTTACCCGGTATCGTGTTCGGGTTGTCATTCGCGGGGGTATGGTATCTTGCCGGGTTTGGTATTCCATTTGTAATAATAGTTTTTGCAGTGACCTTGATTAATATTCTTCAAACGAAGAAACCTAGTGTCTTACCAAAAATACTACAAAACTGGGACTTTTTACCGAAATGTATGCGTTCTTTGAAACCAATAGATGACGTGATTACCAAGTTGCTGTCTGTGTTTAGACGTTGCTGTCCATTCGTATTTAAACCTAAAAACCCTACACCGTCCATTAGGCCTGTAAGACCCGTCGACTCAGGCAATACCACAGTCGTGGCAATGACTGGTACACAAGAAGTACATGTATAAAAAATTGAATGTATTTAGGGCATAATTTTATGCCAAAGGAAAGTACTTAAAATCGTTTAATATTAATGTTAATTTAATATTATTTTAATGTAATAATAATTTAAATTTGATAACAATTAAAATGTATAGCTAATAACGAGGAAATCGTAATTTCAGGCCCTATGCCACTTTGCCAAAATTACAACTCTCTTACAAGCCAAGAAATTCAATTTTCAGTCAATACACCCAAGCTAATTGGCCAGTAAATTGCATACCCGCCCTACAGTTTGTTGTAATTTAAATAAGAACACAACATAAATTATGCTACTTCGCCGGTGCTAAACGAATAATTAATTGTATACTAAGTAAAATTAGGCCTATGCTTAATGCATTTTGTCATTTTTATTTTTAATTATTTCTTCGAAAGCAATAAATATGACGGTACTAACTTATAAACATTGTTGTCGCTAGAAGAGCACAAGAAGGCTCGAAGTACTCGATCAAATAAGTTTTATGTCTATTAAGTCGGTTTTCCACTAGGCGAATTTGTTCGCGCGAATCGCAAGCGTCGGTTCATGCGCATGTGCATTCACATTTATATCGGGTTTTTGCGCGCGAAGTGAAAAAATGCGCAACCAATCAGAGCTCAGGAAGCGAAACGACGCTTTGATTAGCGCGAATAAATTCGCCTAGTGGAAAATCGGTTAATGTTATTTTATAGGCATACTGTACTAACTTGTATTATTATCGTACTTTATCGTACTCACGAAATACGTGGACCAAACTTTCAATACATAGATGGGTGCGGAAGCTGTGATCGTCTGCTGTCTATACAGATGGTTTGACAAACTTTTTGGATTCGGATTGGAGGCAATTGATTTCACAATTTTTTCGTTATGCAATGTTAAGACTGTTTTCCACTTGGCGAATGTATTCGCGCGAATGGAATGCGGCGGATCATGCACATGCGCGTTCACATTTCTATCGGAGTTTTTGCTAGCGAAAAAATGCGCAACCAATCAGAACTCAGGAAACGAACTGACGCTTTGATTCGCCTAGTGGAAAACCAGCTTTAAGATAACATTATTATTCGACGCACACACGTAAAACAGACTTAATGTGACGCTCTCTTTTTAAGCATCGTAAATGACAACGGTATCTTGGAAGAGATGCGTTTTAATATAGGAAAAGTTAGATGTAAACCATCTTGCAAAAATGTTTCATGAATATACATATTATGTAAACTGTAGTCGGTAATAGTGTGAAAAATAACCCCAACAGGAACCGCTGCTTATGTATAAACTAGTATTTATTTTACCTTATATATCTGTATATATTTTGTAGTATATTCTATACAATAGCCGGCTTCCTATATTAAAAAATATATATATAAATTAGAACAAAACAAAAACTTCAAAGAAAGAAAGCAATAAAAAATAAATAAATAAACAAAACAAAAAACAAAAATTAAACAAAGCAAAGCAAAACAAACATAATGCACTGCTGGGTATCACGTCGGATATTACCAATCAGTACTAAGGATATACTCCCCTCCTCGTTGTTTTGAAATGTACAAAAGTCTCTTGGACTGTGTATTTGTTAACTTCGGCTCATTTGGCTACGATAATTATTTATTAATTTTGATTGCTTATTATGGATTGCACTAACATGATTTATTAAGGCCTCATTGAGGAATGGTATTGCTTGAATATGTTTTTATGTTTTATTTATGTTAATATACTTTTAATTTTATTTGAATAAGTGTGTATAAGTCAGAAAATATGTTATGTTATTTTATTTTACGATTAGATAAAAAATGATTACTATCTGTTGAATGGTATACAGTAAGTAATGCATTTTTAAAGAATTGGTCCTAATTGCATAGTGACAAGCAGCCATGATGACGTAATTATAACGTATATTTAGATTACATGTCTGTATGTACGGTACTCAGTTGTAATAGTTGTAATAATACTATGTAATATTCGGTCTTACAGAGCATGCTATACTTTACTCAGTTGAAAAGATTCGTTCTTAAAGTGTATACGTAATCATTGCAAACCTTGACACTTCAGATTTTGCGTCCTTGTTTGTTGACACGTGTCGAACCCCAATGCATTGAAACCCCTATATTTTGTTAAGCCCATGATATTTCATTTGAAAAAGTTGCTATATTTTGAGTGTTCCCCCATTGGTAGTAAACATAAATGTTTATTTTATTTATTATACTGTATATCTCAAAAAAGGTTCTACATTCTGTCATTGTTTATACTCCGCTTCAACAGTACTTAGTCATAATATAATACGCTACAATTATTACAAACCAGCCTTACTGCCTTCATTTACTCTGCACAATACTGCATTTTACTTGCCATTTTAACTATTTATTCTTACATCAACGTCAAATAATTGTAAAATTTAAGTTCCATGTATTTTCGTGTGTTATTGATTTTATAGAATATCAAAGGATTTCTTAATATTTCTGTTCTATTGAACTATTTTGACTTATATTAAGTCATTAACTTAGGCCTATAAAGGGACTACGTAATAAGTGCTGAGGTATACGTCAAAAGTAATGTTGTTTTGCTTTTAGATGTGTCACATTTTGTAATTGATGTGTTTTTGAGGAGGTAGGCCTAAAAAGGTGGTAGTCTTAGAGAAGCTGTACAGTGAGGGAGCAAGGAGAGATTTAGAAGTAAAGCGTTTGTGTTGCCATCTTACTTAACTATTTCACCTATTGTTCCTATTTTAAATCTGTACTGTTGTTTCTTCCTTAGCCTAAGATACCGTACCGAAAAACCTTTGTCCACTTTATTTGACAAAACTGTTGTCTATTTCATGATCTGATGTCATCATATTTAGGCATGTCACTTGTTATTGTCAAAATACAATTTGGTGACCTAGACAGGGCTTTGATGTGCGTGTTATACGTTTGGCTACAGCTAATTGCAATAAATTTAACGTGTCCGTAGGCCCTCGTTTATGCCTTGAACTACCATAACACGGGTATTTTTTAAGGGAATTAATTGTTTTTAATTTTAGCAACGAAACTATTGCCAAATTTAGGTTGTCCATAAATTCTGTAAAGTTATTATAAGAACAGTTTTCTTTTATAAAGAAATGTTTTTTCTTATAATAACTCTATAACAAAAATTTACACACAACAAATGAAAATCATATAGAATATCTCATCCGTACATAGAAAGTAGAATAAATTGTATAGAATATTTACAAAAAATAAGTTATTGTGTTTGACATAAACATTTTATTTTAAGAGGTGTGTTTTTGTGACATGTTGAGAGTTAGTATTTTTTTTCTGCGTCAAAATGATAGTGTTTATTTTTTAATCAAACAACGCAAACGTCCCGCATTCGGAATGTGTACAATAAAAATAAAGAAAATGTGATAGTACATTAATTGGTTTTATGTTCTTTTAGTATTTGGAGAAAAAAATACGGTACAGATACACACTGACATATGATGATGATGATGATGATGGTCGATTTATAAGGCGCAAATAAACAATGTCTCATCTAAAACCGCATATAAAATGATAAGATAATAATTTGTTTATTTTTATTACATTTTCATAGTATCTACCTATTATTACATTGTCTTCATAATAGAAATGTTTACTTAAGTGGGCCCGAATGAAGAGGTTCATATAGCTTATCTGACATCGTGATCATGTGAATACACTGCCGGATTGAACGTCATTTTTGCGCTGAATGAGTAACTGGCTGATCCAGGAGTGGAAAGGAGGTGCTTTAATCCCCAAACCGCAGCAGGTAAAGATAATCCTAACCAACTGTGAAATCAATTAGATAAGAGATTAAAATGGCTAAAACTCCGAAGCTTCCAAAGAAGAGAATAGCCCCCTGGACCCCCACAATGACACGAGAACACCCCCAGAACCTTATCCTCCTCTCTCGCAACCATAGGTTCCACCCCCTTCTTCTCGTTCCTCGACTGCTGCCAACACGGCGCGCCACCCCCAGAAGGAAAACAAATCTGGATCCTGTCCACTGCTGAGAGAGTGATGATGATGTCTCCGATGATCGAACTAGATTCATTGATAGATACTCTCCTACTACTACTTGGACTGTTGTTTTGAACAGGGGTGGCACCAGGATTTGCCCGAGAGGGAGGTCGATGTCCGCGACGAGAGCAAAAAGTGTGTGGTCCGCGGGGCGTCGTTCAAAATGCTCCGAACGTTGGCGGGGAGTGGGGTTGGGTAGAAGCCTCCATATATGACAATTTAGGAGTTTCAAAGGCATATTCAATCGATTTTATAGATATTAATATGATACATTTTTTGAATTGCCTTTGGATTTCTCATTTAAAGGAACCACAAGAGGCCTATCACAGTTCGTTTAATGATTAAAAAACAAAATCAAATACGTTTTCAATGATTTACAAACTTTTTATGACGAATGTTGAAAATGCTGGCATATGTTTTTGAAAAAATTGCGTGCGAGAAAGCTATATAGGCCTATATTTTATCTTTCAAATTTTGTTCAAGCTTTGCAATAATAATTAGCAATCTATTTTATATTTTCAATTATAGACGTCTACAGAACTAGAGCTAGATCTAGGCCGCGTGCCTATTCTACGTACATAGTAGGCCTTATCATCAATAATCACATTCACATCGTAATGCTAAACTAAAGATATCATTACAGCACTTTGTAGGCCTTTTTAGACACACGAATAGAATCGAATACTTTGAAAAATTGTTCCGCTTTTTAATTTTCTTATAGCGTAGCAGGTATGGTTCATCAATAGAATGCCGAGTAGGTGACAAGCTTTTATGAGAGGCATAGGTCTCGGCGACGATGTAGGATGTCACTGGTTTTTTTTTTTCTCTTTCTTTTTTGTGGGGATAACCCACCTTTATTTTCCATTGTCTCTTTTTTCAATAAGTTTCTGTTTTATACTTATCTATATTTCCTAAAGTGAATAAATATGAAACTCATTGAGTATCCTCATATTTTTTCGGCCCTTTTGACAATTTCACGATGCACAAATCTTTAAGCAGAATTCGCTCACACTCAATCATGATACAAGTTATGAATATCATCTATTTGCAATTACATTTTTTGTTTTGTTTTGTTTGTTTTGTTTTGTTTTTTAACATAAAATCTGCCCTAAAGTACGACGTTTAATCTGTACTAATTTTTTAAGGAACATACTCCATCATGAATTATAGACGTCACATTAGGTATATTCATATATTTACAATTTGTTTATTTCTGTTTAAATAAATTACGCCCCTTGTACGTGTTCATGCTTTCAAAAGAATTTCTTATGAACGGACGTTCAAACCATGGTATCATGAAATACATGTCACCTTGTGTCACCTCATACGTACACTCCATCATGAATTATGAAATACGTCACATCATATTTTTCTGATATGCATTTTTCTTTCTTGTGTGTGAGCATCAGCTTCATTTCATGTAGGGCCTATTTAGTAGGCAAATCAATAATATGACGGAACGTTTTCGAATCAGAGGCTGATGAAACCAGCATTACCCCAACAATCAAACAAATGAAAAACAGTAAATAAATTATGGTTACATTACATTATTAACAACTTTACAACAATATGGCTATGTCACCGTTGACCACATGGTATGATGACAGTGTTAAATATGATTTAATTGAATTGGATTAATAAGCAAATTGCACCACGTGAGTTGTGAGAATTATGCTTGATCCTATACAAATTTAAGAAAAAATTAAAGGTAACTTAAAAACGTAGGCCTAGGCCTACTCTACACACATCATGCCCTAAACATCTAAGTGGTAAATCACCGGCCTTCTAATTATAGTCAACTAATACACAAGGAATAAACGATTTATTATGTCGCAAATGCCGAGATATCTAATATAATAATAAGCCTATGTAAAATATGACAAATTTTAGCGGAAAAATCGGTCCCCCTGACCAATTTTTGTTTTCAAAATCGGTCCGGGGGACCGATTTAGGGACGGATTGCGTGATAGGAGGCCTACCCATGGTTATTTTATAAATTTGTTGATGGCAGGTTGTGGTCTGGGGTAGTTTTGTGATACTCAGTGTTTGTTTAGTACAGCAGACGGATTATTTCAATAAATATAAACTTAATTTTAAAACATTCTATCCGTCTCTCCGTATGACATGTTCGGAACTATAAGTTGTGTCACTAGTCTAAGGTTCAAGGTAAAGGTAATAGAAAACCTTTTATAATTGGAAGTTTTGGGGAACGAGTTTTAGTTATCGGTTAACTACTACGTACGTAACTACAAACAAACACACGCACGGACGAAAAAATGGAAGCAGACGACATTGATTTAGATGTTGTGGACTTGTTTTTTGACGATAATGATTATAACCCAAAAAAGTACCAGGATGATATAAGTAAAATACAAACGTTTGTAGCTGGTCATCATGCACGAATGAATAAAGTCGTCCTAGTTACAGTAATATACATTATTAATACTTAAACCTAGGCTAGGCTTTTTGCCTATCTAGCCTAGCCTAGGCTAGGCCTAGTATAGGCTAGTGTAGCCTAGTGAAGTCCGGTGCGCCAGCATGCCAGCTTGGGTAGGCCATGGGCCTAGCCTACTACTACAATAGGCTAGCTAGGCCTAGGTCTAAATACTATATATAGGCCCTAGGAGAAAGAGGCAATAGGCCTGCATGGATGTATTGTTTGTACAAAAACAGTGGATAGGCGTACCCTAGTCTCTAGTCCCTACTTCTACTAGACTAGGCCTACTTTATTTAGTAGTATTACTACTAGGCCTAGTATTCCCTACTAGTAGGCCTAGTACTACTAGTACTAGCTACTAGCCTAGGCCCTACCTAACTAGCCAGTCTAGGCTAGAGTAGTACTGCTAGCCTAGGCTTACACTTAACTGGCCTAGCCTTCTCCACTATAGGCCTTTTTCGCAAATCGGTAGACATCATGAAGTGATGACAAACATTGCGAATCAGCGGTGCGTAGCCAACAGAAATAAGATAAGCTTTTGGGCTGATTTTTTGACATCATGTTATTTTAAAAATCATAACTCTATAACGGGGCATCGTATCCAAAACATTTTTCCAGCAAAATGTTCTTAAAAGACTAGTCTACACCACTATATGATTGAAAAAAAATTGAAAAATTGTTTTCACCTCTGAAATCAAGATTGAAAAAGAAAAGCCTATCTCAGTAGTCTATTAAAATAGGTATATGCATTACAGTGCTGTAGTACTAGTAATACTCTGAACTAGCATTGTTTTAGTTACCATATGAGAGTTTTCTGTGTAAAAACATGATTTACTATCCTATACTTCTTTATAAAACATAACTTGTACTTTATAATAAGAGAATTCTGTATATTATCGCTAATTGGAACAGTAACAACTCGAAAGTCCTATGCTACTGCACTGTAATGCATAGGCCTATTTTAATACACTACTAAGATAGGCTTTTCTTTTTCCATCTTGATTTCAGAGGTCAAAAACATTTTTCAATCATATAGTGGTGTAGACTAGTCTTTTAAGAACATTTTGCTTTAAAAATTTTTTGGATACGACGCCACGTTATGGAGTTATGGTTTTTTCAAATAACATTATGTCAGAAAATCAGCCCAAAAGCTTATCTTATTTCTGTTGGTTACGCACCGCTGATTCGCAATGTCTACCGATTCGTGAAAAAGGCCTATTGTACTACTACTACTAACTAGGACCTTGGCCTACTAGTTACTCTACTACTAGTACTAGGCCTAGCCTCCTACACTAGCTAAAATAAAGGCTAGGCTAAAACTAGGGACGCTAATGCACTTTAGTTTAGGGTTTGGGTGGAGTACTAAAGCGCATTAGCATTAGCGCCAGGTAGCTTGTAAATTTATAGCCTAGCTAGATAGTACTACTAGGCCTACTACTACTATTACTACTAGGCCTACTACTACTATTACTACTAGGCCTACTATTACTACTAGGCCTACTACTACTATTACTACTAGGCCTACTACTACTATTACTACTATTACTACTACTACTATTACTACTACTACTATTACTACTACTACTACTAGTGTTTTTACAGAGAAAAGTATTAACATAGGACCCTTTGGTTAACAACAAGGTCATTGAAAGCTTATCTTTTGACTTGGCTGTTTGTCATCACTTTAACATGTCTACCGATTCTTGGAAAGGTGTAGGGCCTAGTGCAAGTAATTTAAATATTTAAAAAGAGAATTTGGCTAAAAAATAACACTGAATCTATTGATTAGCTGAGTATAGGTTTCATAAAATGTTCATGATTGTTGTGATTTCTTAAAACTATAGTATTTGGTCTTCCTACAATATAATGCCAGTGACAGTAGGCCTATGCTACATGTTATACTATTAAAACTGTGCTTTTCTATAAAAAATGGAAATGTTTATTTATATAAAAATTTAATTATGAGTCTAATACAATGCACCCTCCACTATTTTTACCAGTTACCTTTCACAATCCAATTTTTTTATGTTGCTTACGATACCTTTTTAATGTTATGTCTTTCAATTATTCTATGTGGCTTTGTCCTCCTTTTCATTTATTTCGGGAGATTAATTTTTCCTTTTATTCCATTCGTAATTTACTCTATGGTTTTGATGAAAACTAATTTTAGATGATGAATCTCTGTACCAAAGCCAGATTTGCCAAATCCTGCAAAATATGCTGCCGATGTCTATTTTAAATTTTCTTCTAATAACATATTTGATATTTAGTTATACTATTTGACTATATTTTTAAATAATTAAAGATGTAAATTTATAATTGGTACTATAGTCTTTTATATACTTTGTAGTTCTTCAGTCACACAATTCAGCATACTGTAATAGACAGTTGTAAGAGAAGATAAGATAAAATAAATAAGATAAAATAACTTTATTTGTCCTTGCAAAATATAAAACAAGGAAATTCCTCTTCCATTGATATACAAAATACAGTAGAAGATTGTATTGCTTTTTACTGAGTAAATATACTCAAATATATCCCTGCAAACCTCCAAACTGCTTGATAATGATAAAATAAATGTTATAGCTCGGCATACCAAAAATATCAAATTTATATTTTAAAAAATAAATAAATTGAATTATTACCTTTTTCTTTTTGGCTCTTGATTTAAATCATATTGTATTTGTAGTTTCCTTTTTATTTACTAGTCTGGAGGAACAGCAATACCTCTGGAAAATCAAGCAGTCAGATTTATTGAAAACTTCAGTGGTGGAAAACGAGGAGCTGCTTCAGCAGAGTATCCTTTATTTATTTTTAATAAAGTTTTCATTTAATAATTTATAGCAAATCTTAAGATGAGAATGAAGCCCTGAGTGGGAGGTAGTTTTAGTGGGGAATTCTCCCTCTTATTGGCTGTGGCCAGAGGCTGTAATTAATAATCCCTACAGCTGGGGCATCCTGGGTAATCATAAGATACATCACATTGACTAAATTTGGCTTCTAACTCTTTTCTCTTGCAAGTGGACTATTCCACATGCCATCAGTGAATTTGAGTTGCCATGGTGATAGAAATTTGAATTACGCTTCTTTGAGTTTGGCAGCAGTTGAACACGATTGCTGTACAATAAATTCTATTTATTGACGCATACTGTATGACTGCAATAGCTATGTATTCTCTTCTATTTCAAGGCCCTAATGACTCGCATACTCAATTACATACTGAACTTCATGGGGTAGGGGTGTTATACCAGTCTAAGGTGATGGTGTATGTTGTATACAATCCTGTAAGATTGGTAAATTCGTTTTCCTATAGGCATTCATTTTAAGGTATTTTTTATCAGAAGGCTATGGAGTTATATTTCTCTACCGTCAGGGATCTCTGAGACCTTACAGTAGACACTTTGCAGGAGGAAATATATTGGACGTATTGGAAATAAGAGAAGATTGCAAAGATGGAACGTGCTCTCAACTTCAAGGTATTTGTAAAATTTGTATTGCAATGCATTATGATGAGATGTTACAGCTGCTAATTATGTGGGTGTAAGAAATTTTCAAACTGACATATCAATCATCAACAGATGTAATAGTCTACTGTATTTTGACTCTATTGGAATCCAAACAATGCAAATGCTTTGTTGTTGAAAATTGTTGATTTGATATACAGTACTGTACATCACCACACATCACTGAAACTATCCAACAAGTGTTATCATCCTATTCTGATAGAACTATAATGAATGTTGCATTATTATTACTAAGGTCTGTGATAATTTAGACAAACCCAGTGATTCATCTGAAATAGAAAGCTCTCACCACCCCCTCCCCCCTCCAATTGAAAATGTTTGAAACATAAAAGTAGTTAAAAGTCACCACTTGCCAAACCTCCAAAATTGTCAGAAAGAATCGAAGATGACGGCTATGCTCTCTGTATAATACTGTAAAACCTCGAAATTGAAACCCTAGACTTCTTTTTTGTTTTTGTTTTTTTGGTTTTTTTTGCCAACTTTGGATGGGCTTCTTTTCAAGGCTATTTTTGCAAAGCAGAGGGGGCTTCTTTCCAAAATGAATGCTGTAAATTTTGTAAACTTGTACTATTTAAACAATAAATAAGGCCACTGTACCATCAATCTGTGCATGGAGTGTATTTAACTGGCATTAAATCACCTAAACTAACTGTATACAAACCATTCATTCATTTATTCATTCATAATGGTATATTTATTAATAAAATCAACCTCACAGAAAAACTGAATTGCGATAATCTTTTACATAAAATCAATGAAGCACAACAATGAGGTGATAAAATTTGAGGAAATAGTACCTGTAGGTGACCAGTAATGACACATTTAAATAGTAAAATTCATTCTTAATTTATTATCAGCTATTTTTGGCAACCGTAAGGATCTAATTAGTATGTGTGATGTACGGTGTACCATAGAAAATAGAACTTAAAAACATTGTCTTTAATGTATTTACTTTACCTACTCTCCACATGTATCTCAAACGAGTCCACACACATCTTAGCCCCACCTATGGTTGTGCTGAGGTGGTGAAATTTAGGGAAATTGTACCTCTAAATTGCCGGATATGACACTCTATATTAAAATTCATCATCATCAATTTAATTAATCGCTGTGAAGTACCGGTACCATAAAAAATAAAACTTTATTGTCTTTGATGTATTTATCTACTTTATGTGCCGAAAACCATTCTTTTCTTTGCACACTTTTTCTCATACTCAAATTATAATAAAGGCACGCGCACTTGAGTCGCGTACTATAGGTAATTCAGATGTTTGTGGGCAGAGATACCAGCATTTTGCTATAAAATAAGATATACTCTGACTGTAGAGCGCTCTTTCTTTAAAACCTAGATCATTTATGCAGTTTATTTCAACAATTTTCAGGCATATCCTCTTGACTCACGAAAAATGAGGGGTGTCCCCTTCCCCCATGATCTGCTTCCACGGGTGCATGAGAGTCCACATGTTAGGGCTGAGGTGCGAAAAGTTTGAGACCTCTGGGTGCTTGGAAGTTGTACTCTCATACCTTTAAAATCATCAACAATATAATACAACAATTATTTTGGTAAATTTTTGTAATAATCAAATTAATGTAAATAGAGTTAATTAATTGAATTATTGTTACCAATTGAAATGATACCATTTGACGTTTTTGGTGTTATTTTTGAATGATAAATATTGTAAATATGTTTCTCGAATTTGTATTGTACACTGTTGGATGAATTTCTCTTTTAGGACGTGTTCAGTATTGTTTTGTTTAAATTTGATGATTGTATGCGCTCTGGGGTCGGCTTGCTGGCGTAGAACGCTTTATAAATGTCACTTATTATTATTATTATTATTTTTCTTAATACAATTAAAGAGGGTGTGATTGCACCCTCTGCACCCCCCAACCTTGCATCTGCCCCAGACGAGGTTAGCATAATAATCCTCCTTAGCTTTTTCGATTTCTGATTTTACTTTATTCCATTTTCCAATTCCATGAATGGGGTCTTCATGAAATGCCTTCTGACGATTTAAAATCAGCGTTTTCACATATGGAGTCATCCAAGGTTTTCCATAACAGTGCAGCTTAATAGATTTTAATAGTTGGAAAGTAAGTATCCAATGCCTTCGCTAAGGTACAATATAGTGCATCGCATTTACCTTGAACAGACAATTCATCCAAGCCTTTAAAGTTTAAGCCAGTCATGTTGAGCAATCCAACTGTCAATCTGTGATGGCAGATTCTTTCATAGGTCGAACCACTTTGTACTGGGTAGAATTTTTCTTGGCGATTTGGCGTAGCTTGGGTACCAGCTTGTTTTTAATTTACTTGTTTTTTTTTAAATTTATGTACAGTGTATATACTTTACTATCTCGAGAAGAAGCCTATGCTATCTTGAAAAGAAGCCGCTTTTTTAGAGGCTAATTGTGCAAATTAAAGAGGTTGGGGGGGGGGGAGGTGTTTCAATTCGAGATGGACTTCATCTTGAGATTAAGCCTACTGGGCTTCAATTCAAGTTTCTTACGGTATAATTATTACCATGTAGGTGCCCTGATTGAAAATGGGGCTTTGAACTATTGACTTCAGTGCCAGAAGCAGGAACATTACCTCTTGTCCCTATGCTCAGCTTTGCTTTATTATTATTTTATTATCAAATATTATTATTATTTTATTAAATTATTTTAAATTTTACTGATAGTAATTTTGATCATTCATTATTTGTCATAAAATGTAAATTTGGAAAACACTTATTTTTCATATTCAATTGTTCCTCATTAATTTACATGTTAGCTTAAATGGACATCTCAATAAATTATGGAGAATTGTTATAGTGTCTTTGTGAAAGTTGTTAGTTTCTCTGTCCTCTTTTGCAGTTGATACCACCAAGATGCCTTCTCTAATGGCTATCGTCGAGGCCTACCAAACTGCTAAAAACTCTGGTAGGTTGTTGGAAGTTAGCTACCATAGTCTTGTTGATTACATTGCGTTGTTGAAGGCGTCAAGTGAAGCCCTGCATTTATTGGGGTCATTGGCAGTATTCTACCTTGCTGCAGCGGTATCGGACTTCTACATTCCACCTTCTGATATGGTAAGAAAATTTTAATTCGCTTAAATAGATTAACATGGTGACTGGCAGACATTTTATTTAGGTTCTCTACTGTGTTGCCAAAACAAGTATACGTGTACAAACATACTTTTTTTAATTGTTATCAAGTCAAGCCATATGAAAAAATGCTGTCTCTAATATATTTTCAGGAAAATATTACAGTAGGGGACTGCGTCTAATATTTTTTCAGGGGACGAGTCAACTCATCACTGGCAATAGTACAGTTACTTTTTATTGTCTCTGCCAAGTGCGATTTTTCTTGTCCACTTTTTGCATGGGTTGGTGTATGTTCATGCAAGCATTTTTACTGCCAGCATCATAACGCCACAAACATACTTGTTATTTGCACATCAACGTATATTAGGTGTATCTTCCGCGAAATGCTAGCCGTTAAGTCTATGGTTTTACAATGTACAACAGTGAAGTAATAAAGCTAGAATATTACCTGGGTTTTGACAAGTATAGTCGTCCCTGTCTCCCTTAGCACCACCCTGTGGAACGAGTTTACTCATCGCTGGCAGCAAACGTGTTAAGGACATTGAGTATATATTAAATATTGAGGGAACTTTCTAAATGTGGACTTTGCTTGACTGTGTTTGCATTTTGCATCAAGATGATTTTAATCAATAAGAAACATAAAAAAAAAACCCAAGAAACATGAGAGTTGAATATGCAAGTACCTTTGCTTAAAAATATACATAACCTCCCCCCCCCCCAACTTCTTTAGAATTAGTCAGCATATTTAGGTTTATTCAAAAGAAATTTTAAAACTTATTTTGTAAAACTTTTTAGTCTATTATTCTTCACTTGATGCCTTTTTGTAATTTTTTTTTCTTGAATTGGCGCAGTAAACATTTTTAATTTATAATTTCTGATAAACTGCATTATTAAATGTAATACAGAATAATTTTATAATTTGATTTGCAGAAATTGCATCATTATGAATTATCTTTTTGAACAAACAATATATAAACAATGCAGTAAATGCAGACAATTTCAGCTGTTATTGTAAAATAATGTAATCCAATTATATTTTGTGACATAATAAGTTCCTTGGGACTTCCCCTTGGCTCCTGTGAAAATGTTTACAGTTTACAATAACTCTCTGAATTACAAACTTTCTCACTCTCAAATCCTATTGGTACAGAATGGCTCATAATTAAGAGATGTTACCTTAGCTATGATAAGATGGATCAAGGACACCCTAGCATTCTATCTTGAATGTGCCAAAGGAGGAACTCTGTGCAGTGAGGACTATTAGTGAATATATGGTTAAAAACCCCTACTGGTGGCACTCGTAAATTGCATGCCAAAGGAAATTGAATTTGCTTCGTATTCAGAGATTACACTTTATTAAGCAAATGTCCTTTTTAATGTTAATGTTTTGCCAGCTTTTGTCTTAATGGAAACAGGCAACCCATTCATTCATGAAATAGGTGTTAAATTTGATAGTTTTAGAGAGGTAAATAATATTTATTAGCATTTAGCTTGTATATATTTTTTTTTTCTCAGTGCAATTCCCATTAAATATTACCCTTGTTTTTAGAAGCTTTAGTTGACAGATGACACCAAATTTGGCACAGTATGCTAATTAGCGGAAGTTTTGCGCAGCGGTTGTGGTTCGGACTTTCAATCTTAAGGTCGGGGTTTCGAGTCTCTGCTGTGCAGATTCGCTTTTGTTCTTGGGCAAGGCACTTCAGCTACATTGCTTCAGTCCACCCAGCTGTATCAATGGGTACCAGCAAACTGCTGGGGACTAACCTGCGATGGACTAGTGTCCTGTCCAGGGGGAGTACAACTCTCATCCGCTTCACACTACAGAAACTGGGGATAAGCTCCAGCCCTATGAGCCCCAGTGGCTCGGAAAGTATTTAGTATGTTAATTATTTGTATTTCATGTACAGTAGTGGATCCAGGAATTTGAAATAGAGGTGGCCTGGGGAGGGAATTTGGCTGGTGTCTTAGTACTATAAGTGAAAGTAAAGATTGGCCAATTAACAAATGCATGAATATTACCTTGAAAATTAGCTGGTCAAAATGAATTACAGAATTTCTTGTAAGTTAACTAAAACCTATAAGTGTATTATTAGAAGTTAATAAATTATTTGAAATGAGCTATTCAATTTATTGTTTCGATATTTTTATATATGAATTTTTATATCAGCATTTCCATTTATGTTCTTGTAAATATTATATTATATTTTTTTGTCTTTTTAGCCAAAGCACAAGATACAGTCTACATCAGGTCCACTTCAACTTGCTCTTCATCAGGTCCCCAAATTTCTACGAGCCCTCGTTTCAAAGTGGTCCCCAAAAGCATTTGTGGCTACCTTCAAACTCGAAACGGATGAAGCAATTTTGATAGACAAAGCACTAGGAGCTCTCTCTAAATATGGACATCAGGTTGTGATAGCAAATATTTTACATGAGAGGCGGTACAGAGTAATTATAGTAACCAAGGAAGAACAAAAAGAACTTTTACTCAGTAGAGCTTCGCAAGACCAGGAGCACGATATTGAAAGAGTAATAGTTAGGGATATCTGTATACGACATGATCAATTCCACAAGGGAACTGAAGTTTAGGGGCAAAAAATCTTCTTCTTTCATTAAAATTTCTATCCATTCTTTTTTCCTTTTTTTCCATGTGTACTTTGTTCCCTCAGAACGTTATTAGGGAGCTTTTGATTGCACGACGATGGTAGGACGTAGAACGTAGTGACGTCACATAAAGTCATCTGCGCATGCGAGAACGTTGAGTTCTCGCGGTCACATGGATTCTAGGACACAATTTGGCCAAATATACGTTCTGCAAAGAACGTCGGACGGTCACGCATGAGTGAATCCGTTCTGCCATTGTGTCGTCGCACATATCGGAAGCTTCATATTATCAATTTTGGCAGGAGTCCCAAAGTTTTGGTCGCATCATATACTTATACGGATCTTTCCAGATTAACAACTGACTATCAGAGCATGTTATTTAATAGCCAGGAATATGCTCCTGTCCCACAAACACCCAAGTTTATGGACATTTTGCACAGTTTAAGATCTCACTCTTTAGCAAGAATATCCTAGGGGAATGGGCTGGCTTAGCGGGAAGGTCTTTATATACAACATACCAGTGTGTATCTATTCATGAATGTTTGTGAAAGCAATGCTGCCTCAAAATCAATTGGGATTCTCGTTCTATGAAGAAGCAGATTGCTTGCCTTGTGATCATGTTTAAGCAGCAGTGGTGCCACCAAGATTTGTCAGTTTGTGTTGGGGGAGGGGTGCCAGGGTGAAGCCCTGGTGGGGATCAGGGTGGCTAGTACTACTGTTGCTTAAAGAAACTGATTTTGGCTCATCTGTTCTAGAATGTTTTACAACATATTTTACTACCCAAATATGTTTTTTTCCCCGATGAATAGTGCCGACGGGACTGCTGGTATGGGTAGTGCGGGGAGAGGGGGATGAGAGCCGGCTTCCTGCTGACACCCCGCAGCCTTTGTCACTGTTAAGCAATAAAATATCTTAATAGTTCAGTGATTGAATGTAGATACATAAATTATTTGAATTATACAATTAAATTTTGTGTTTAAGGCACATTGAATAACTTATGCCATGAACAGTTTTTCTACACATTGTAGATTTTAAATAAAATTATAGTTACTGTTAAAATTATTGTTGTTTTGTTGTCTCTGTTGGCAATATTTTTGTTTTTATCCTTGCTAGTATTTTCATATTTATTACAATAGAACATAGAGATGCAAGCTGTTGATGGTGCTGTCTAAGCACACGCACACACATTATTGATGCACATGCAAAAGTGTTATACGTGCGTGTAATATACGCGCACCTTTACACATTTTGACAGGATATGCAACTATTTCTACAGCATGATACTAGCCTTGCCGAACTGAACAAGCAACAGTACTAACAGTGGATTGGCTACATTTACCCTTTAAAGGTTATCTTGTTAGGCCTTAATCAACTACGAAGCACGTATAATACTTTACAAATATGCTCCCACCCTTACCGTGAAGATTTCTTCACAGTTTTGTTTTTCATCATGTACATAGGTGCACCTACACTGAACTAAAGTTTTTTTAGTTCTTCCGGTCTATAGAGGGCGCTAACAGTTTTTTTTCATTAAATGTCTTCAAACCTCTGAGGCTCATAGTTGACCAACTTGGTGGTTCAGAAATTAGCGGACATTGGGTTCATCAAGTCAGACAGGGTCCATATTCAGAATTCACCACCACCACCTCTAGTCAGCATCCGGATTATAGCCATGGTTGGATCAATGGCGAGATATTTTATATGCGCCTTTGGTAACCTAATTTAGGCTACTGCAAATCACAATAAAGGTAAAAGGTAGTCCACCTAATTTATTTGGATCGTCGGCAAATTTATATTTTTTCACCATTAATGATATTTTACCGTTTTATTAGTATTTTATATCAGTCGATATACAGTACTTAAAGCAAGGTTATAATCTTCATGTTTACAAAAACTTGTTTTAAATGTGTTAACAATGATGAATAAAAAGCGCTATGATGTTCATTAAAAATAGCGCTATACAAGTGCAATGTATTATAGTCAAGCTTACATAAATCGACCAATCCTGCTCATAAATATGACATTGCTTTGGATTACAAGCATTATTCAACAAATTAAATACGAAATCAAACACGAAATCCGCTCGAAGTACCTACTTTAAACGCTGAACCCCTTGAGATGAATTACACAGGCCTATTAACATTGAAAGTGTTACTTGATTTAAATCTTGTTCTTACATTTAGAGATCATGTTTGTTTGTACAGTAAAACAGTTTACCTTTCCAAGATACAAAACTAAAGATAAACTATAATTGGATATTTTATGAGTCATGGTAGGCTAAGCAATAGGCCTATACTATTACCAGTTATTCAGCTACAAAATGAGATGATAATAACAATACTTTAGATTTTTTAAAGTAGTCAAGTGACACACCGGCCTAGTATCCTATCATATTAGGTTGAGTAGGTATATTTAAAAGTTCTTTTCCCTGGTCTTCTTAGACAACCTTGCTTTATGTTGTCCAGGCTTATAGGCTAGTACTCCGTTTCTATTATCGAAAGATGGGCAAATACGAGGCCTATGTTTGTACTGAATTGGTCCATATTTTTGATCGATGCCTTTCCAAAAAAAAAAAAACAAGATATTTATCGCCCTCTATGTTTAAGGGCAAACAAGACAAGAGCAAACAAATCCTGAACAAACGAATGGATGGACGATGTGC